CTCTTTCATATAGGTTAAAAAATAAACTTCATAAATACTGACAAGTTAATCATTAAACCCTTCATACACACAGATCAAATCCACAATATATATATCTAAAATGTATATTAATAAATCACATACCTTACTTCACACCTTTCGATAAAAAGCAGTACAATTACAATCCAGTCAGTTAGAGCCCCTTTTAAGTCTGCTCTCATCTTTTAGAAAAGTAACAAAAGGCTTGTTCAATAGTGTTATCTAGCAGCACTTTGACGCACTAATCTACCCACTGACACCCACTTTTTTTCCATCAAGGCCATTAACTCCTGCTCTTATTATAGGCTGGATCCAAACATGGTCAAAAGTGTTGAAGTGAGGCAAAAGATCCTGTCCTTGACATCAAGTAACAGTGTTTCCAAGTTACTCCATGCTCACTTGATACAAGCTTAGGCTCCAGCAGTCATCCAGTTCCTCGTCCAAATTCTTTGTGTGCGTGGTTGGGTAATGAATGCTTCCATGTTGCTCAAGCATGGAAAGCATCACAGATAGACTGATTTTCCTTTCACTCGATTCTCATGCATCTGTGCCAAAGGATCAGTCAGAATTGGGAACTTTGCCCGATTCTTTTCCCTCCTTGCCTTAGGTCAACTGTAACTAATCATAGTGACTACTCCTACCCTAGCTGTGTTTAGCTAACACTGCGTACACTTGCATAATTATCCTTGTAACTTTTATAGTCTGTACGGTCAGTGCTTCGTAAGTTCTATTTCATGCAAAAGCATAAACATCTGTAAGCACAACTGAATAAAATATATTATTGATACCATGTGGATTTCACAAGCTTCAAAATCTCCCCTCCCCCTACCGCATCCCAAAACCAGCCCAGCTCGTCCCCGCCTCCCTAACCTGTTCTTCCTCCCACCTATCCCCTCCTCCCACCTCAAGCTGCACATCCATCTCCTACCGACTAACCTCATCCCGCCCCCCTTGACCTGTCCGTCCTCCCTGGACTGACCTATCCCCTCCCTAACTCCCCACCTACACTCACCTTTACTGGCCCCATCCCCGCCTCTTCGACCTGTTTGTTTCCTCTCCACCTATCCTCTCCTCTATCCATCTTCTATCCGCCTCCCACTCTCTCCCTATTTATTTCAGAACCCCCTTCCCCTCCCCCTTTTCTGATGAAGGGTCTAGGCCCGAAACTTCAGCCTTTCTGCTCCTATGATGCTGCTTGGCCTGCTGTGTTCATCCAGCTCTACACCTTGTTGGCTCTATTATTGATACCTACTGGCTGTAATAATCTTTGATAATCCAATTAATGTGCCAACAGAGATATTCCTTGGTTGTAAGTTAAAAGAAAGTATATTTTAAGGTAAATGGAAATAATTAAAGCTGATTAAGAATTTTTGGTTTAAGAGTTTCTAATGAATTACTTTTTCTTTCTTATTAATTCATATCAATAAGAAATGGCACAATTAATAGTCATATCACACAGGATTATTTTCTGCTAAGTGGGTGCAAAATCCTTTCACCATTAATAGTTAGCTGTAATAAAAATAGAAAATACTGTAGAAACTCAGCAAGTCCGGCATCATCTGTGGAAAGAGAAGCAGATTAATTTTTTAGGTCCAAAATGATTCTTCTTTGGAACTGACAGTTCATGTTCCGATGACTATGTGTAGTGAGAAGAGCTATTCCTGGCTGGCAGCGTTTGAGCTGAAACACAGCTGGGGTTTTGAATATGGCACTGGCAGTGCAAATCCTAGAAGGTGCTGGCAGTGGCAAACGCTTCTGCTGCTGGCGAGTGCATATTAGTGGGAGCACAGTGTCATAAAGATAGGTGCATACATCATGAGGTGAGCAGTGGAGAATCTCATGAATTGATCCCACTAGAGCTCATGGAATGAAATCGTTCATGAAACTCCTCAAATTTGACATTAAATTGAATTTTGTTAAAATTCAGTCCTTTGCATTCTCTTAACATATGCTTGCCTAATTATCTTTGAGTCATCAGCAAATATACCTGACAATATTTGCACCCTTTATCCATGTCAATAACAGAAGCAGAATATATCCTACTCAACAAGCCTGCACTTGCAAAACCCAAACAAAATGTCTATTGTTAGATTTGCTTTCACAATTCCTGAACAATCCTGAGTGAACTAGCAACTACACCAAGAGCAAATTTAATATAAATTAGTCAAACATGGCTCTTTTACAGTTGCTAGAATTGCCATATGTTCGTATGCAGGGACCCGCTGTCTTCAAACAAAAGGAATTCTTTCAAGCCTTACATTTTTTGGAATTATCCAGGAGCTTGTTGATTCTTCTGTGGCAACACCTTGGCAAATTAGAGTCCTCTCACCAACTAATCAGTATTCTTTACTCCTGGGGTGTAAATTATTGTGATAGTTTGAAATTTAACCTGTTGGGGAATACAAGATAAAAAGCTTAAACAACATGCTTCTCTTTTCAGAAATATTCAAGTTTTGTACTTTATTAATATTAATGAAAGCATAAAAAGTAACAGGTATAATTAGTAAGTTTGTAGATGACACAAAAGTTGATATTATTGATTGTGAGGAGGATGGTCTCAGGCTACAGTCTGATATTGATCAGCTGGTAAATTGGACAGAGCAACGGCAGGTGGAATTTAATCCTGATAAGTACAAGGCGATACATTTTGGGAGGTCTAATAAGGGAAGGATATACACAATGGTAGGTCCCTAGGGAGTATCAAGGAACAAAGGGACTTTGGCGTACAAGTCCATAAATCCCTGAAGGTGACAGCACAGGTAGACAGGGTGATGAAGAAAGCATATAGGACGCTTGCCTTCATTAGCATGCGCACAGAATATAGAAGCAAAGCTGACTTGTTACAACTTTATAAAATATTGGTTAGGCCTCAAGTGGAATACTGTACAATTTTGGTTGCCGCGCTATCAGGACATGATTGCACTGGAGAGGACACAAAGGAGATTCACTAGCATGTTGCATGAGATGAAAAGTCTCAGTTATGAGGAAAGACTGGCTAGGTAGGTTTGTTTTCCTTGAAGCAGAGGAGGTTGAGGGGGAATCTGATTGAGGTATACAAAAATATGAGAGGTATAGATAAAGTAGATTGTGGGAATTTCTTCCTGGTGGCAGATGTGTCTAAGACCAGAGGGCATAAGTTTAAAGTGAGGAGCAAAATGGTTTTGAGGAGATCTGAGAAAAAGAATTGTCATCCAGAGAATGGTAGAAATGTGGAACAAGCTGCCTGAGAGGGTGTTGGAGGCAAGTACTCTCCCAACATTTGAGAAGCATCCAGATGACCACTTAAAATGCTGTGGAACATTTTAGGCTATAGTAAGCTATGGATCAAGTGTAGGTAAATGGGATTATTATTTGCTCTTCTCAAAATCCTTGTCAATGTATGACTTGTTTATAATTTGTTGTATTAATTACAATTGTTCATATTTAAGGTATGATTTGTCCAGTAAATTGTAACTGTGGAGATTTATGTCTCCACAAGGGATATGGGCTTCCCTGGCTGGGGCCAACATTTATTGCCCATCTATATTTAATTCTTCTGGTTACATAACCCAACATTCAATAACTGTAATAAAAACAAAATACCGTGGTTGCTGGAAATCTGAAAAAAAACACAGAAAATGTGGAAGAAACTTAACAGGTCTGGCCGCATCTGTGGAGAGAGAAACACAATTAATGTTTGGAGTTCATTGTGACTCTTATTCAGAACTGGTCTAGTTTTCTCCCACAGTCTAAAGATGTGCAGGTTAGGTGGACTGGTCGTACTAAATTGCCCATAGTGTGCAGGCGAGGTTGATTAGCCATGGGATATGCAGGGTTACAGAGATAGGATAGAGGAGTGTATCTGGGTGGGATATTCTTTGGAAGATTGGTGTACGTCTGATGGGCCAAATGGCCTGCTCCCACACTGTAGGGATTCTATGATTTATTTTGTTAGCTAAGATATGTGTTTCTTTTGTTGAGACTTATGCTTGGTTGATTCTTTATGACAAACAACTAAAAACAATCCCAAAGTAACTTGGAAGGAAGAGCTGGCGGCAGCATTCTGCTGATTCTTCTAAAATTACATCTGATTCATTCATATCCTTTCAGGGAAGTAAATCTGCCAGCCTTACCTAATCTGACCTACATGTGCTTCCAAAACCACAGCAATGTGGTTGATTCTTAACAGTGCTGCAGTCAATTAGGATGAGGAATATATACTGACCTGCAATACCAACATCACATGGACAAATTTTTAATATTCTACCTAACATACTCAGACTTTATCATCACAGCAATAAAATGAGAACACTACAAGATCAGCCTTGATTTTTGTGGTCAGACTCTGGTTTGGGACTAGAATTTTCTAACCAAGCAGTGAGCACACTACTAACAGAGCTGCAACAAGCATGATTTTGAATTATTGCAGCTCCACATTTTCTAAATTTTAATTAACAATGCATGCAGTGTAGATTGTTTCTAGTTATTATTTCTGTTCCTATGTTGTTTTCTGACTAGCATGGAGGGTAGGCAATCTGTTCCCAAACCTTTGCCAGTTCTACTGACAAGTCATCAGGAGTGAAAAATATTTTAAAAATTCAGCCTCCATTTTCCTCTGTTTCTCCTTGTGAGATTTACAAACACTTTACAATGACAATTCCTACTCTACAGTTTCCCCTATGTAGATCATTTTATGTATATATTTATTACACAGTACCTAAGCAGAACTAGAACTGTTTCTTTACTAAAATATGTTTATTTGTGTAAGTCATAATTTCTATTAATCATGACTGAATATAATTTTCTATGTTAACAAAAACAGAAACTTTAATTCAGCGTATAATTGTTTCGGAATGCTAATTTTTCCAGTGCCTTGACAAAATTCAGGTTAATTTACTGTCGCTGAGGGTGGACTGGCTCTAGTTCACAGATGACGAAAGCTGCTTATCCTTCTGGTTGCCATGGAGTTGAATTTGAGCAGCACTGAGGCTGCTAGAGGGAAAGTCAGCATCAGGCAGCTGCAGTGGTCTGCAGAAAGAAAACAGGAACAAGATCGTGGCAGACATGGACTTGCATTGTGATTGTAATGATATTTCGGCTTCTGAACAACAAACTGGCAAGATAAGTAAGACAGCATTTAAATTATTTGGGAGGAAGAAATCAGGGGGCACCATGCCTAGTATTTTTAATCTGAAAAACAAAGGGGATAGGAAAAGCTCCTTGAAAATGGGGCTTGTTAGAAGCAAAACGCATGATGGAATTGCTGATATGGGACTGGAAGTGAGCAACAAGGAAGAATCTTTGAGTAATTATCAACTGGACAATGATTCCAGTACAAAAATTGTCAACAGTATGAGCTTTGCTGCTGCTGGTTGCGGACCTATTGCTAAGTCTCACAGCTTTTTCTCTTTACTAAAAAGGAATAGTAGGTTAGAAAATGGCAAGGGAGAGTCAGTACATTCAAACTCTGAGCAGGTGAAGGAAAAGAGTTGCAACAGACAAAAGAAAGGACTGAAAGGGTTGTTCAGCAGCATGAAATGGCATAAAAAGGACAAAATTAGTAAAGAGGAAAAAGATGAGTACCTGGAAATCCATGGCACTATTACACTGCCTAGTTCTTTGACTGCCAGCTTGGAATGTGTGAAAGAAGAGACACACAAATCTTGCTCTGAACATGAAAGTGCTGCATTGGAAATGCAGGACAAATTATCATGTGAATTGCAGAATGATAATGAAGCCACCTTCACTGAGGAATCAAAACACGCAAATAGTGGCAAGTGCCTTCCAGAATTATGTAAAGATTTGGAGAAAGCTGCCACTGACCACCAGTTATTGGACCAAGATTCTAATGTCAAGGCATTTGAACAGCTGGAGGAAAAACAGGATGGAGGATTGACTGATGTGGGGCAGGATGTACAAGAAGAAGGTATTTCTGTAACTGGATCCGAATCTCATCACACTCCTGAAGCTTCAACACTTTGTGCACCCAATAATGATCCATCCTCGGAACAATCAATTGATCGAATTTGCTTAATGTTTTCTGATGTTACATCTTTAAAGAGCTTTGATTCATTTACAGGGTGTGGGGACATTATTGCTGACCAGGATGATGAAGGGAATGTCTGTGAAAAAGGAGCTCCTGCAGAAAAGGGAAAGGGTGGTGCAAAGAAATGCTCAAATATTCTGACTTATCAAGGTGGAGGAGAGGAGATGGCAAGCCCAGATGAAGTTGATGATGAATATCTGCAAGAATTTTGGGACACACCTCCATCAACTGTTGAGCCTCTTAAAGAAAAACAGGACAAGACCATGGCTGACCAAACACCATGGATGGCTTCAGAAATTCCAATTTGCCTTGATGAAGCAGCAGAAGGGACCTTAGTCAAACAACTTACTTTGAATGATATTTCTAAAACTAAAAATGATAATGAAGACACAATGACCACCAACAGTGATCAAGACTGTGTCCCAAACAGTGATGAGGGATATTGGGACTCCACAACCCCTGGACCTGATGATGAAAGTGGGAAAACACTTGCTACCAGGGCAAGTATTCCAAGAGACAGTTACAGTGGAGATGTTCTGTATGATCTGTTTGCAGATGTAGATGAAAGTTTGATAAGTATTGTTTCAGATGAAGAAATGTCCTCTGTATCTGAACCTAAAATCCGGTCTCCAAAACCTCTTGTGCCTGCATCCAACATTACTGCATCCAACGTTACTACAATTTCCAAGGAGAAGAATGTATCTGCCATTCCCAGACACAGGGCCACTTTAACTGCACGACAGAGCGAAGCAAATCATACTTCCTGGCCTCAGACACATCAACAGTTGGTAGGATGCGAGCCTGCAAGAACCAAAATTCCTGTTGCTAAGACATCAATTCCTAGACCTAATAACAAAGGCATCATTGGGACAAATGCAAATGTCTTGGCAACCAAAGGAAATGCAAAAAAATAGTCTCAGAAAATCTACTGTTGGAAAATTAAAATGTGCATGTTACATCAGTCCAGAACCGTGTATTTGTAAGGATAAGCACAATGGTGTGATATTCTGTTTGCACTCGTAATGTTTACACTGTGCAACAGAACTTTTATCACTTGGCAAAGAGTTTCTCCTGTGATGTCATAGAATCGTGCCTAGAAACATTAAGCAATTTGAAATTTTAAGAAGCACAGATACAACAAGCAAAATTTATAGCTCACAAATGCTTCTTAGGAAAGAAAACAATTGTTTGACACACAAAATTTTAAACAGCTAATATGAACAAGAAAGGGCTTTGTGAGGGAATACAAAATATATTTGTGAAACAGCGAATGAGAAATTGAACCAAATCTTATACATGTTTATGATGAACAATAGACACCATTTTGCTATCTTTTGTTTGGATGATATTCTTCAAAAGATGAACATGAATTTCCACCAATACAAAGTACAGCAGAGGAAAAACCTGTGATGTGATGGTGCCTAAAGCCAATCCATTCTGGGATCAGATTGTGTTGATCCATTGGACATTTGTGATTCACAGAAGAAGAAAAGAAACTGATATGTAAAATGGGTTACATAATTATGATCAGGGAATGATTACATAATCAGGCCAGCTTGTATTCTCATCCCAGAGAAAACACTTCAATGTATAGAATAATGGTAAATAGCACAACATTTATTCCCTTGAAGCTACTTTTGAAAGGGAGAGAAATCTGCCTTTCTATATTGTTTTATTGCCTTCATAAATTTGATTCCTTTTGAATTTTCAGTCTGCCAATGCTTTTTGAATAAGTAAATCTGAGTGCTCTTATTTTCCACATGTAGTGGCGATAAAATATGATCGAGTGAATGACCACCAGAAATGTTCTCATAATGGGGGCAGATAATGTACGATTAAACAACTTAGAGATATTTTCTAATCAACTGTTCAGAGATGTTATTATACAGCTCTGGAGCATATGGGACTTGATCCTGGGTCTCCTGGCCCAGAGGTGGGGACACTACAATTGTGCCACAAGAGTCCCTTATGCAACTTAGATTGTTCCTTCCAAAATTTTCTGTACACTCATTGTTTAAAGTTTATATAGTGAGTGGAATTGATAGTCATATAATTTTTTTTATATTAGTCACGTTGTCGTGTATCTATTATTTTTGTTCAGTAATTGTGACAGAGACCAGCTTATGCAGAGGAAGAAATGGATACTATTTAAATTATATTTGTACTACAGTCTCCAGTCCAACAGTTTAAAATTGTTCTTATCTATTTGCAGAAAACATACTTCACAAAAATCTGGTCTGTTAAACTTCTTTCTTTCCTTGTTTAGATTTTTTTTCCACTTGGGACACTGGTCTAGGAAATGATCCCAGTGCCTGAGTGGAAAGGCCTAAGGCGAAAACAAAATTTGACCTCAGGCCTCATTTAAATGATGTAGATGAGCTGCTGACTTCTGCTTAGGTCCCAAAGCATTTTGCTGGTGAGGAGGATTTCAATGTTTGCAATAGTCCTCAATAACCTGAGGATGGGGAGGAACAAATGGGGGATCGATATGGGAAGGAGTGAGGTAAGGGGGCAGTTGGATATGGTAGATACTAACAACCTTTGGAGCTACTCTGTAGGTGTATATTTAGGTAAATAATGAGTGCAATGACACGTATGCCATTTTTTAATGTTTAATGCCTATTTTGTCCATTACAAAGGACTGCATAATTTAAATTCTAAGCCTCAATCTGAAAAAAAAATCAAATATACATAGAAAATAAAAAGGGCCAACCCTAAAACAGCAGGAGAATGAATCGTGAGGCACCTTAAAATAAAAGTATTCAAGAGTAAAGTTAGTAGAAAGATAATGCTGCCATTTCATGGTTAGTACAGGGGAGCAACAATATGAGCTAAATTCTATATTTATCTCAATAAAATGATGTCAGAAAACCAGTAACAGATATGGGGGCTGGATCTTACATCTCCCAGCACACTGAGGGAGGTGGAACAGAAACTGCATGCTCTATTTGCTCCTGTCCCTGCCATCTGGTAGGAAGGAAGCCAATTATAAATGCACAGGAGGCTTTCTTCCCAAACAATTTACTCTATCTCTTATTCCCTTTCAACCTTGCAGCTATTATCAGATGCAACAAGCTAGAGGTCTTGTGAATTTGGATTACTGGGAAAATAAATCTTGGATTGAATTTTTTTGTTGCAACTATATTCACAGATGGAAATGAAAAACACCTTGATGTGAATAAATAACTTGTGGATTCTGAGAAACTGGTGCAAAGGAAGGCTCTGTGACAATTCGCCTTTTGGGCTGGGATGTTTTGAGGTGGAAGGGTAATGCCATGGTCCTGACTAGAATTTCATGTCTCCCCACTCTCCGAATCAGACTTTATTATTCATTCCATACATAACCATTTTCTAAAAATGTAACCTCCTGCAGCAGAATTTGCTAGTACTATCAATCACAGCAGGTTTTTTCTACTGTACTTGTGCCATCTCACTGTAGCTTCCCTTAAAATCTTCCAAATCTTTTTATATTCGACTCCTCAATAATGTAGCAGGCAATGAAGAATTGTGGGTGAATGGCTTACTAATGATCTTAATGGCTCATTAACAAATGATTTCAAAATGGTAGGTGGGCTAATGATTTCAGGAGACATTGGCACCGCAATTGGAGACCTGCTTGATGATATCAGATTGCTGACCTGACACCATGATGTTGAATGCTTTTATCTGCACATGGGGGCAGTGTGTCTCATTTGGGAATGTAAAATCCAGCCAATGGTCTGCTAATTTATCAAATAGAATTATAACATTCCTTTAACTTTAAAAAAAACATAAAGAGCTGATGACTATAGTATGTGGCTCTGCATTGGAAATGAAGTTAAAATGTTCAATTTTTAAAAATTAATCATTGTGAAACTGTACTAGCCTCCTTACTAGGAAAATGAGAAGTACATATACACAGCAAAAATGTACCTGCTGCTGGCTATTTGGAGAGCTATTAGGCAGAGGCAGAGGATCAGGTCTCCTTCCAACCAACAATTGAAAGTAATGTGAAAGAAAGTCCTTAAAAGAGGAGGAATCAAATCACATTGGCAAATATGTTAGTCATCTATTGGTTGACTTAGTTCAAATGAAATGTTACCCTGTATCATACTGCCTGCTAAGGAGTTTGATGTTCTGAGCTAATGTTGATCATGGTTGTAACGAGGAGAACTAAAATGAGGCTACCTTACCTTGGTAAAATCAGTTAGGTTACCCTGAGCCCAGTCTTCAAATGGCTTACTTTAGATTACTTCTAAAATGATTAGTTTACTTATTTTACAAAATTTCTACATGTAATTGGCTGAGGTTACTATTAAGAACTCTCCTTCTCAATCTCTCCCAAGGCATGGTGACCCTCAGGTTAAACCACTAGTCATCTCTCTCTCTAATGAGAGGGCAGCCCTATGGTCTGGTAGGACTTTGGTGACTTTTACTTTTTACTTTTACATGTAATTGGAATAGCCAATTGTAAACTTATGCCAACAACTTTGTTATTGTGATGTTATTGGTTGGTTCAGATTGTGATTTCAATGGACACTAGTCAGTTTGCCTCTACTGCACTGAAATAAAATAAAAGGAATGACTAGCATTTATATAATGCCTATTACATTACTCAGAAACGACTGAAAGTATTTGCATTCAATTGATTACTTTGAAGAGCAACAACTCTTCCTCTACAGACAACTGAAACAGCCATTTTGCATGCAGCAAAATCACACAAATATCATTGAGATCGATAGTCCGTTAATCTATTTTTGGTGATTTTGATCTTGGGAGTGATATTTAGGAAGGCACTGAAATAATTCTTCACTTTTCTGTGAATAGTGTCACAGGATCTTTAATATCTACCTATAGAAGCAGGCAGACTTGGTTTAGCATTTTCTATAAATGATTGCATTTCCAATAGTGAAATTGTGCTACTGTACTATGCTGAATTGTCACACTGTGTGCTTAAATCCTGGAGTGGGGTTCCAATCCATAACCTTTTGACATTGAGACAAAAGTGCTACTAACGCATTCAATGCTATTGAATACATTGTGTTCTTTTATCAAGAAGCAATGTCTAATGAACCTGAATTGGCTCCTAAACAGCCTACACATTTTTCTTTTGGGTGCATCATGTAGAACAATGCATCATATAAACAATGTAAAGGTGCCCATCTTTATGTTTGAGTTCAAGAATAGTTTGACATTTCTGTCTACTGACCATTTATTTGTCCAGCTATGTTAGGCCTCATTCACTTTCCTCTACCATCAGATGTTTGTTCTAATCCTCCAATTTAGAGCATTTGAATTACATCAAACTTAATTTAAATTTAAAAGGTTTTGAAATTCAGCCTCTATAAATTCAAAACAAATCTCACTTCCTCCTTGGATTTTGTTCTGAATTTGTCTTTTTTTCATTTTTTGTCTTTTTCTTCAGAAGCTTGTTAATCACTGTTGTCATGGACGTTGTATTCAGTTAATGTTACATTGTATCAGAGTATTCAGAGATGTAAGGGTGCCGTCTGGGTTTATTGATTTTCTTTTTTTTCCTCACCCTTTAAGAAAACATCTTCTCCAAAACTATTTTCCCTTGAAAAGCAAAATTGTTTTCTGCAGTCTAAATTTTAAACTCTGATTAGTTAAAATGGGACAGTGTTTTTATTCTCCTTCATGTAAATGAAATGTTACAGACATCTATTAATAGGCTTAAAGTAGGTCAGCAAAACTAGTGTATACTCCTAAAAGGCAAAGGGACTATTCGTATCGTCAAGTGATCATGGCCAACAAGTTAAGAAGGAGTCATGGAAGCACAGAATGTTTGTGTGTCAGATGGATGAAATATAATAGAAATGAAAGAAAAATAGAAGTGTGGTTATTAAGAATCATTCATGATGTTCACATTGCACTCAAGTAAGCACTTTTGAAGCGTTGTCACAGTTGTAATGTAGGAAACATGCAGTCAATGGTATGCAGCAAGGTCCCAGAGCAGGCAACCTTTGAGTTGTGGGAAGGGCTGAACACTGGCCGACACAGCTGGGAGAATGTCCCAAGTTTCTTTTAATGATATACAAGAGGATCTTTTCTTTCTAATTGTCTGGCTAGATAGGATCTCATTTCAACATCTCATCTGAAAGTTGGAACCTCCAGCTCTCTTTTAGCACTGCACTGGGGTATCAGCCTAGATTTACTGCTCACAATCCCTAAGCCCACAACCTTCTGTCAGGTGACAGATTTACTAACTAAATTAGAGTGGATACCAGACAGAAAGTAAAATGGATTAAATTCAGGAGCATGAGTGTTATATAGTATAAACAATAAAGAGAAATAAATAAAGAAGAGCTGGAAAACTGAATATATAAAATTTTAAGGAATTTAAAACTAACAGTAATAGTTTAGTGAATATATTTTTAAAAAGTGGTAAAAGGGGATAAGGTACCTTTAAAATCGAATCAGAGATAGTAGGAACTGCAGATGCTGGAGAATCTGAGATAACAAGGTGTAGAGCTGGATGAACACAGCAGGCCAAGCAGCATCAGAGGAGCAGGCAAGCTGACATTTTGGGT